TCTCTCTCTCTCTCTCTCTCTCTCTCTCTCTCTCTCTCTCTCTCTCTCTTGTGTTAGCTCTTAGTCTCATTCATTTGGCTACCTTAGGGCTGCGTTCCCCGTGCCCACGCGGTAGACAATTAAAAGCAATTATAGATAGTATTCCAAACAAGTGGAAGGGCATCCTAGACAACCAGCGGGCTTCCTATGAGGGGCAGTGGATCGAGGGAGGCAAGGAAGACCCGCCTGGTACAGTATGGAACATTAAGACGGTCAGGCAGGATAGGTCTGCCTTAGCTCTTAGAGGACAGGCAACAAATCTTCACGATGGCCGACTGTTAATCTCAGTTCTTACGTTGGAGAGTGCCCCTGTTCTTATTCAGTTAGGGAGCGATAGTAGACAGATCCTGGTCAGGGAACAGAAGGACAAGAACAATAGGTTAGTGGTGGAATGTCCTCTAGGGGTGATACCCATCAGGAAGTTGCATTATAGCCCGGCACATTGGGGCTGGGCTCCACTCAAGGATCACCGGAGTACCACCCTGCTGGATTATGAGCCAAAAATAGGATACAAGATTCAGACAAGGAGTGGCTCTACCACGTTGATAGTGAAGAGTCAATGGAATGTGAACTGACCTACACTGGTGAAAAAAGAAGAGAAATTATGTCTGTGGATCTTACCAGAATGTGGGTTTCCATACAGAAGATCCCTTCTGTTAAAATGACCAGCCTCTCTTGGTTACAGTCACACAGGGCCGTGCCCACCGCAGTTTGGCTGGCGGACAGAAATATGCCAGTGAAAAGGAATTGTGCCAGATTTAAATAGGAACAAGGGACTTCGGTGCACGGGAAAAAAAAAAAGAAAAGGGAATGGTAGTTTTTTCATTATCATTGGTCCCAGGGAAATTCAATATTGTGTCTAATCTGACGTCGGGTGGCCTTTTCAGCCCAGGGTGGCCTTCATTTATTGCCTTCAGGGAACCCCGCCAGGGGACAGCCGGTAGCGGAGGGGTAGAGCATCATCTGAGTGGCAACGGTAGTCACTGTGCCTCCCCGATTACCCCTCCCCCTATGAACATCGTCAGAGACCCCTTTTAATGCCAATTGAGGGGACCAACGCGCTATAGGTGGCAGGCGCCAAGCATGACCATGAAGGTACATGCGGCCAATGGGGATTGAACCCAATACCTCCTCAATGCCACTTGCGTGCCTTACCAACTGAGCAAGGCCGCTGGATGTCTGACTATAGTGTAGTGTGGCCTTCGCTTTTTTTTTTTTTCTTCCCCAGAACACACTAGCACGACCGTAGGACTGTCCGTAGGACTTTCCTACCTAAGCGTAGTTAGGGCCTGACTGACCTCGAAGCAGATGACCGGTATGAGATCCAGGACAGGAAAAAAGAAAAAAAGAAAGAGTGGTGATGATGCGAAGATGGCCTTACTCTGACTGACTGACTGAGGGCATACTCAGTTCCACACAAGGACGTTTTTTTGGATGTATGAGACCAGGTTTCTGACCCGGAGGGGATGAATCTGACCGGAATTTCCGACAATGCATATGGCGGCAATTACATCCAGAAATGGAGGAATTTGACTGCAAATCACGTCCAGGGGTAAGGAGAACAAGTACTACGGTAGCAGTGCGAGCATCGCCCTCGCTGCACAACTCTCCACATGCACAAAAAACGAAAAAGATGGCAATGTATTTGGCCATATTCTCGTTGAATATTCAGTCTCGTTTTGCACATTCGGAGAGTACTGCAGCGAGGCCCTATTCCTGATCTGATTCAGCGTGTGGAACCCGATCCTGTAGCGGTAGTTAGCAGTTAAGTCTTAAAAAAGGGTATATTATATATTTATATTTATATATTTATATTTATATATATATATATATTATGCGCCGGCGAGGTCGCTACCCGCCGTGGAGATGCAGCGTTTCTTCTTCATCTTCTTCTTTTTTTTTTTTTTTTTTTTTTTTGGGCGTTGGGTGATTTGCACATATGCTTCGCTTGCCCGCCCGCTTTTCGTCGTCGGCGAGGAGGAAGGTCGATCTCCACAGTCACTCGTTTCAACGGACAGATTTGCCACTCGCTCTCTCCTTTTTTTTTTGTTTTTCTCTTTTTCCCTTTCTTTCTTTTCTTTTCGGGAACTCTCTCCTTCGTATAACCCCACTGCTCTTTCCCTTTGTGGAAATTAAGAGTAACCCCGCCTCGAACAACGAACAGCTCTCTCTCTGCCTGCGTAGACGAGACTCGCTCCGTGCTCGGCGTGTATAGCAAGCAGCCTGGAGCCCTATGTGTGTCTTTCCGTCCGCGGGTTTTTATTCCTCTGGAGACAGCTCTCCCCGTTGTCTACTTTCCCTTTCTTTGGTCCTTACCCTCCCTCCCCCCTTGGCGTGTCACAATCACGATTCTTTACGGCGGCGCCATCCCGGTGTTTGGTCATCCCGCAGAGAGACAGAGGCAGGCAGGTGTTCACACAGCACGGCCCGGCGTGCGTGAGGTGCGGTGTAGTGCTACCAAGCTTTCGACGGTGCCAGGGAACACTCGCACACCACTCGCACACACTCGTACACACGCACACACTGGCACTCACTCGCATACACACAACCCAACGCAACGCAACGGAGTTTGTGATCCCCCCCTGCGCCGCCCCCCCCTTCCCCCGACTCTTCCCGGCCTCAACTCCTTTCTCACGGCTGCCTCCTCCTCCTCCTCCTCCTCCTCCTGCTGTGCGCGGGCGTCTCCCTCCATTCTCCTTTTATACGTGTCATCACTCTTCTCCCCTTCGCGGTCTTAGCGAATTGGTCACGTGTGCTGCCGTTATTGGTTGGCTTTCCGTTGTCTGATCGCAGAGTAGGGAATGCATGCGGCCATGACCGGTATCTGGCGCGACTGGCTTCGTCTTGCCGTCGCGATCCCTGCTTGGTAAGACTAGGTTGTGCCGCTGTCGGGATCTTGATCGTGCGGTTACCTCGCGCCGCCTCAGAGGGTGACCGCCGCCACTAGATATGCCCGCAGTCCTGATGAAACTGTAATAAGCCGAGTAGCCTTTGTTGATCTCATTCTCTCTCTCTCTCTCTCTCTTTCTCTCTTTCTCCCCCACCCCCCCTTCCTCTCCGTCTCTCTCTGTCTCTCTGTGTATTACTGGCTGTCATCTCCCCCCTCTATTGTACCATGATAACCGTTGCCGATTTCGCGACTACCATGATCTGAAAGACGCTAGGCGCGCGGTTGTATCTCGTAGA